GAAGCCCCCCATAAAATTATTTTAGTTGAGCCCCCTGAGATTGTAAAGGCTAGCGACGCCCCTGCAGCCTATACATCAAATGCTATTAAATTAATTTGATAATTATATCATTTAAATTGGTAATTGTTGCCTATGTAGATTATTGATAAATTTATCTTTTAGATTAAATAAGAGAGTTCTTTACTCTCGCTAAGGCATCTCGTATCTCTTATATAATTAAGGAAAAAGACAATATACCACAAGAAATAGAGAAGTTATAAATTTTATATATAGCAATGAAATTTTATTCGGGATAAAATTGTCTATGAAGATGTATCGCTAATTGCACCTCACATTTGCAAAGAATGCCGCTTATTTCCGCTTCAAATAAATAAATATAACTCTTAATGATACGGATATCTCGTTTTGAGAATATTAAAGCACAAATTGAATACTAAATAATTGCCAAGTTTCAAAAGGTAATCTAATTTATTTTCGGTTTTGGCAAAGTGCCAACACTTTCTTATTTTGCTCATAACTCACTAGCCGTTAATTCTGCTGATATGACGTTTAAAGACTCTTAATGTTCAATTAAAGGGCTATACATTGGCATAAGTATCGCTAATTGCACCTCACTTTTTATAAATTCCGCCTATTTCCGCTTCTCAAATAAGCAAATATTACTCGCTTGCGGTTAATGATACGGATATCCCGTTTTGAGAATATTAAAGCACAAATTAAATACTAAATAATTGCCAAGTTTCGAAAGTTATTCTTAATTTTTTTAGGTTTTGGCAAAGTGCTAACACCAATGATATATATAACTATAGATTGACGATCATGCATAAAAAAACGTCCACCTATTGAAATCAGCTGTAGCGCCATTTTGTAGCTTGTACGTTGATCAAATGCCTCAATAATGATAATAATTTTTAAAAATTTAACAATTTTACTAATAATTTTTAATGTAATTATGTAAAATAATCAAATGAATCCTAACCTCAACTGATCTTCAATTAAATTACATGGGTATTCTCTAAAATAAAAAAACTCAACATTTAATCCAATAGTAGTACATAATATCATTAAATTACTTTCACCCAGAAATTATTCAGAAACATAGATTGCTACAACATCACTGAAACAAAAATCACCAAAATTATACCCATACAAAATATTCCATACTTATATCTAATACACCCTCAAATATTCAACCAAATAAGGTCCACTGCCTATATATAATTGCCAAAAAAATCACACAGATTCCTTTGACTCAGTCAAGAAAATACTTCTTTCAATCATAGTTTTAAGTTAATTTATCTATTTGATTAATATTATTATAAAAATAAATTTATTTTTAAACATTCCTCAATTATTTAACCCCCAATCATTTATTAGAATATCTAATTTATTTTATACATATTAATTGCAAATATCAAAATCATTTATATTTTTATATATATTTGTTAATTTTTTTAATAAAATTAGTTTTTATAATTTTATCAAATTCACTTGATGTTTCATTAAAAATCTTATTATCCACTTATTGTTCATTTATGGAATCCTTATTATTAAATATAATAATATTTTATGATTCATATCTTATTAATAAATAAAAATGATGTACTTATATTTATTGTAGTTGCTGGTACTTTTAATTTTAGGTAAGTAATTTATACCTTAAAATAATAATCAAAATTTATACAAAAAAAGAGATCTGTATAGATATAATTAAATAAAATCTACAATACTCTAAAAGTAGATGAAGATTAATTAATTATGTTAAGAAAATAAGATTTTATAAAAAAATATCCTGTCAATTAAAAATTATTTTGGATTATGTGTTCTAGATGAAATAAGTTAAACTATCTTAAAAGATGGGTTGAGAGCTCATCTTACTTAATTTTTATTGTAATAATCATTTATAATTTTTTTTGTTTTAATTATTTCATCTTAATTATAAATGACAAATGAAAACATCTTTTATTTTTTTTTCAATAAAAACATAGTGTAATAATAACATTTTTTGCATGAGTTTAAATTATTATATAAATCATTTAAATAAGGTTTATACAATAAATATATAAAAATATAGAGTACACTTTAAAAAACAAAATGTATTTTTAACAATGTGATGATTCACATTCATATTATCTTTGATTATAAACATTCATCCTTTTTGATTCTATCATCACCTATAAAAAATAAAATATATTTACATTAGCATAGATTATATATAATATCATAATTTTTATAATATGTCTTATATAAGGCCTGTTCTTTATACAATATAATTTTTAAAAAATAAAAGAAGATATAAATATTAATTTACATGACTTATTGATTATTAAATTGTATTGCTTTTGTAAGATTTTGCCTCATACCAGTTCTCATTTCCTGGTTTCTCAAGTCAGCAAAATGAAAAAATCTAATATTTAAATATCTTTAAAAAAATAGTATAAAACTAATAAATGATTACCTTTGAACAATTGATTTTACAAGAATTTGAAAATGGCTGTAACCAATCTCATGTTCATTAATATGTTCAGTAAGATCAATAAAAATATTTGTACCAATTATTGTGGAAAAAACCAACACTTCCATTTTTTTAATAATATTTTTACGTTTAATATCATTTTGATAAGTTCTAAATGAACTTTCACAAATTCGGCATAATATCTATTTTTAAAATTTATGAGCATATTATTTATATTATTATCAATATATGAATCACTGACCATTGCATTAATGCAAACATCACATCGTACCTTTTTTTCTTTAATAAGTTGTTGTACTATATATCCCGAAATATAAGTTGTTACATTATCTAAATATAATGATAATTTTGGGATATGAGGATTTGTTTGGCTAAAATAATAAGATAATGCCTGGGGTATTATTGGATTTGAAATAGTTTTGATAGAATTAAAATCATCGTCATGATTATTTTGAAAATTTGAACATATTAATTGAGTATTATCTAAGGAAATGCAATTTCCTGTAATTGTAGCATCCAATTTTGCCATTAAGGAAATGCGAACAGCAGATCGAACCTGATATGCTGATGGATTATCATTAAATCCACCTCTGCTACGAATACTACAAAAATATAATTCTAGGTGGTCTTGAGAGGTTTTATATGTTAAAAAGAACCTTAAAAAATTGTTATATAATAGCTTTATGAATAACTCTTGTTATAAATTAAATATAATACTTCATTTTTGGGGTTTCCCCAGTTAATAATTCCTTCCCCATTTCCAGGATGCTTTTCATAGAAAGAATTAACCCTTCTACACATGTTTTTTTATTAGACTTATAGACATAAGTTCCATTTGTTAACTTGAGTGATTTTAAAGTTTTAATGCACTTGTCAAAATGATTTTCATAATCTGCAATTGTATTATTATATAAAGGGGCTTTATATCCTTTACCAAGACAATTTCTTGTATTAAGATAATCAAACATTCTATAAGTTATTCATAAATTTATATCATAATTTTTATTTTACTGATCTATCATCAATATAAAATTAATTGTACCATCACAATTATCAAATCCAGGAATCTCCTGATGCTGGGCAAAAAGAAGGCTATTTGCAACAGATGCACTAAAAACTTGAACAGCAAGTTTTACCTTAAAAAATATTTAATAATTATATATTTATTATCAAACTTTCATTTTTTGTTTTTGGAAAGCAATATGTGCTTTGCGCAATTTATTTGCAGCACGTAAACCTTCGCACTCCTGCAATTTGTGTAAATTTTGTATATGCTTCCAATCTATTAACTATAAATACAAAATAAATATTTAACCAAATTTAGCTAGCTACCTCTCCATTTGATTCATTTATTAAAATTTCCTCCTCCGCTAATAGATTTCTAAGTAATTTGAGCATATGACAAACATCTAGTAACATGTATATTTTTTCTGATTCATAAAATTCCAGCTCAATATATGGAATGATATTATCAGGATCCATACTAACACCAAGCAGTTTGCTCATTTTTTTATTAACAGCACAACCATCACATACTATGGCCTTACAGATAACTCCTGTTTCATTTATATTGAACAATGCAACTCTCACTAAATTAGCTAGGATATCTGAATTCATTTGTGAAACTAGAAAATAGGCTATTGGCATTTTCCAGCTGCTATTAAGACATGTAGCCATAAGAAACAGTGCCTTTGTTGCTTCTGGACAAGATTTATCTTCCTTTGTTGATTTTGTCCCATCACCTAAATCAACATAACCATGATATTCTGCTTTGTGGGGGTCATAATCTATTTGTGTTTTAATATGCATTTCATCAAGGCTAAGTACACAATATAACTGCTTTTCTGATTTTTTTTGGTAGCTTTGAATTTGGGTAAATGAAATATAAAGGAAACCTTTATTTAATTTAATTTATTTTTTTTAAAATTATTATAATAAACCTGGCATGATTTCAATCTTGCTACTCCATGCCCTTAATGTGGATTCCGAAGGCATACAAAAGTGTGATTTGAGATATCTGTAAGCCTTAGGTGAATAAAAATGCATAGTCAATGCAAATTGACGGAATTCACTTGTATATATTTTTTTTTGTGGGTTTGAGATGCCTCCACTGTGTATATGTGTTTTAAGGAATATAGCAGATGTCCCTGTAAAGTGCCTGTCTATAATATTTTCGACATCATCTGATAACAAATTTTCATCTTTTAGTGAAGTGATTATTGTTTGTAAATTGATTATTTTATTTTTTCCTCTTTTTGAGCTCCTATAATAAGCATGTGCTCTTTTTTTTAAGCGTTTAATTATAGCCTCTTGGTAAATAATTTTTCTTTTTAATGTTTCATATGTCGCGGAATAATTATGATTATTTGTTATATGTATAATTGGATCTTTTTCATATAATATATCACTTTTTAATGGTGTTTGTATATTTGAATAAACAATCGTTATCTAAAAAGTATATATTTTAAAATATTGTTTTAACTATGTAATGATATTGTTAACATACATCATGAAGTGGCTTAGATATACTAAATATCGATGGAATAGAATCTTCCTTCAATAAAATCTTTCCAGATATAGTTTGAATGAAACAAGTATTTTTAAAATGCCTTCCACAAATAATACTATATTTATTAGGCATAAAATTTTTTCTATTTATAGCATGTAACCATTTTTCCAATAATTCTTTGGATTTTAATGGAAATCTATATTTAAAAATAGGTGAATAATAATGAGTAAAATATAAGATATATTTATGACATTGATACAAAGATAGATAGTATATAACAATCAATATTAATATCAGATCAGTTATTAGTAATATAGTATTGAATCAGTGAAAATTTGTTGATTGGCAGAGCCTCTATTAATATATATATGGTTTACATATTTCTTACAAATATTTAAAAATGAAACTGTATCATAGTAAATATGTATTTTAAAAATGGCTAACTTAATATTTTATCCAGAAAAATATTTAGGCAAAGTTCAAAATAGAAATCTTATCAACTCAAGAGGAAGAAGCATTATTTGTCCTAGCAGTAAAAATGAGAAAACTTTATATTTTTACTAAATAAGGATTTTTTTTCAATGTTTGTAGCTTAATAATGCTTTATGTAATAAATATGTTGCATATAAAAAATAATATATATACTTATGATAAGAAATATGTGTATTAGATTCCATTTTATTTGTTTTATTACAATTATGAACACAGCACACTCCCATTATCTAAATAAAATAATAAATGATAGTGATATTAAAAGATCTGTTTTGCATGTATCCTTAGATGCATTAACATAAGATTTATAAATCCGTGCAGAATTAAGTTAAACTATATTTTAAAAAATTAAAAGGTGGGTTAGTCTTAGATTCATTTTTTAAATATAATCACCTAGTCCACATTCATAAAAAAAGTCTTATGAAAATTTAAGAATAAAAGATACTATAAAATATTATATCATAAATCGAAACCTTTAAAACTAAATTATCGTAGTAGACTTGTTTTCTATATATTAATATTTCTTGCTGACAAATAATGGATAACCAAACTACAAAATGGCGCTACAGCTGATTACAATGTGTGGACACTTTTATAATGCATTGAATGAATGAATCGTCAATCTATAGTTATATATATCATTGGCTAACACTTTATTATTTTGCTCATAACTTGCTAGACGTTAATTCTGCTGATATGCCGTTTAAAGACTCTTAATGTTCAATTAAAGGGCTACACATTGGTATAAGTATCGCTAATTGCACCTCACTTTTTATAAATATATCCGCCTATTTCCGCCTCTCAAATAAATAAATATTACTCGCTTGTGGTTAATGATACGGATATCCCGTTTTGAGAATATTAAAGCACAAATTGAATACTAAATAATTACCAAGTTTCGAAAGTTATTCTTAATTTTTTTCGGTTTGCAAAGTGCCAACACTTTCCTATTTTGCTCATAACTCGCTAGCCGTTAATTCTGCTGATATGCCGTTTAAAGATTCTTAATGTTCAATTAAAGGGCTACACATTAGCACAAGTATCGCTAATTGCACTTCCCATTTACAAAGAATTCCGCTTATTTCCGCTTCTCAAATAAATAAATATTACTCTCTTGTGGTTAATGATACGGATATCCCGTTTTGAGAATATTAAAGCACAAATTGAATACTAAATAATTGCCAAGTTTCGAAAGTTCGGTTTGCAAAGTGCCAACACTTTCTTATTTTGCTCATAACTCACTAGCCGTTAATTCTGCTGATATGCCGTATGTTCGGGCTACACATTAGCATAAGTATCGCTAGTTGCACCTCACATTTACAAAGAATTCCGCTTATTTCCGCTTCTCATATAAATAAATATAACTCGGTTACGGTTAATGATACGGATATCCCGTTTTGAGAATATTAAAGCACAAATTAAATACTAAATAATTGCCAAATTTCGAAAGTTATTCTTAATTTTTTTCGGTTTTGGCAAAATGCCAACACTTTATTATTTTGCTCATAGCTGATATGCCGTTTAAAGATTCTTAATGTTCAATTAATGGGCTACACATTGGCATAAGTATCGCTAATTGCACCTCACTTTTTATAAATAATTCCGCCAATTTCCTCAAATAAGCAAATATTACTCGCTTGGGGTTAATGATACGGATATCTCGTTTTGAGAATATTAAAGCACAAATTGATTACTAAATAATTGCCAAGTTTCGAAAATTATTCTTATTTATATTCGGTTTTGGCAAAGTGCCAACACTTTCTTATTTTGCTCATAACTCACGAACGGTTAATTCTGCTGTTATGCCGTTTAAAGATTCTTGATGTTCAATTAAAGGGCTACACATTGGCATAAGTATCCCTAATTGCACCTCACTTTTTATAAATTATTCCGCCTACTTCACTCTTCTCAGATAAATAAATATTATTCGCTTGCGGTTAATGATACGGATATCCCGTTTTGGGAATATTAAAAAAGCACAAATTGTAAACTAATTAATTGCCAAGTTTCAAAAGGTAATCTAATTTATTTTCGGTTTTGGCAAAGTGCCAACACTTTCTTATTTTGCTCATAACTCACGAACGGTTCATTCTGCTGATGGCCGGATAGAAGTGCAATTAGGTGCAATTAAGGCTCTAAATAATAGCATAATTTTTGTTAATTGCACCTCAAGTCGTTCTGCCAACTTCACGTTTTTTAAATAGGTATAGCTCGGTTACTGTTAGAACAAAATTTTAACATGATTTGTAAGGAAAATCATATAGTAAAAGAATAAAAAAAAATTTTACAAATTTAAATTTATTATTTAATTATATTTATTTAAATTAAGTAACTAGTTAGTTACTTTTGACATACTTTCTAAAAATGTAGCCAGCTACAGTTACGATTTTGTAAATGTAACTAGTTATAAATATTTTTTAGTTAAAGTGTAGCTAGTTAATGGTAACCACTTAATTTGACAAAATTAATGTAGAAATATTCATCTATAAGCTTTTTTTTATCTTCAGCAAAATTTATTTAGTTCTTTCTATTATTCTTCTTAAAAATTTTCAATTATAGATGAGACACACCGATAATCCATTCTTAATTTAAAAGTTATTTGTCACTAAGAGATAAACAAATTTTGACATGATTTGTAAGGAATTTTACGAAATTTATTTTTAAAGATAAGAATACAAAATAAAATATATAGTGTTGTTAAAAGTTACTTTGGCAATGTGACCTAAAGAATATGTTTAATACTATTTGTATATGAATTTTTTATAAGATAAACCTTGATAATATACTGAGCTTAGCAATATTCATTTCGAAATATCAAATAAATTTTTATTCATAAAAAATCCAAATAAACATAGTATAAATAATATACCAATATAAAAAATACAATTATATGATTAAATTTAACATTTAAATTATGGGATAAAGCCCTTAAATAATCCAGTATGGTTCTTGAATAAAAATCTTCAACAATTAGAAAAATCTGGATCTTTCGCGATATTCTTTCTTTGACAACGGTGCCAATAGTCCTAAAGAATATTGTTCCAATATTCAACAATTCAGGCTATCTTCGTCTTTGAGTGGTAAAAATTAAAATGCTAAAATTTATAATATAATATAATTACTAACTCTTTATAAATTTCCAGATCGTTAGATGATGGGAACTTATATGAGACGAAAAACTTTGATGCCAGTCCTCCACTTAATTCTTTGTATTCGGTTCACGAGATAGTGTCAATTCGTAGTAATTCCATAGAGAAATGCTAAATATTGGCGACTTCCTCTCCATCGCTATCATTTTTCCAATCCACGTTACTTCAAAGTATTCTATCAAGTGGGAGAGAATATTTTCTTGATAAAATTTAGAGGCACATAATTCCTCGAATCCATGAATTACATTCTCAATTGGTACATATGCCAGTGACATTAACATTTTTATGTACATAGCAAAATTTGTTTCAGTTTTGTATGCATTGCAAATTAGCGGATTTTTTTGAACCGTGCGCTATATGCACTAAGACATATGAAATAGCCATCCGCGCAAAATTAACTGGTTACTTAATTTTTATATATTTCAATAAATATAATTAAATAATAAATTTAAATTTGTAAATTTTTTTAACATTCTTTTATTATATGATTTAAATCTTAGCCAATGAATTTATATTAATATAAATATTCGATTTAACGTAATTTAATCGATCCGGCTAGCCCTGAATTTACTATCCACTAAAAATAATTGTAACTAATGGCTATTTATATTTAAAAAAAGAAAACTATTAACTGGACTTGTTATATCATCCAAAATTTAACTACTAACTCAACTAGTTGCATTACATTGTCAAAGTAACTTATAACAACACTATCTATTTTATTTTGTACTTATCTTTAAAAATAAATTTCGTGAAATTCCTTATAAATCATGTCAAAATTTTATTCTACCATTAATTCATCTAATAATCGAAAACTCGCTTATACAAGGTAATTTTAATATTTAAAATTATGTTAAATACTCTTTTTTTCCTATGACTATATATAACATTTTTTTATAAAATAATCATATCTTTAAGTAAAATTCTTTATAAAATAGTTCTCTATAAAATACATTCTTTATAAAATCATTCTAAATCATTCTCTATAAAATTATTCTCTATAAAATCATTCTCTATTAAATCATTCTCAATTAAATCATTCTCTATTAAACCATTCTCTATTAAATCATTCTCTATTAAATCATTCTCTATTAAATCATTCTCTGTAAAATCATTCTCTATAAAATTATTCTCTATAAAATCATTCTCTATAAAATAATTCTCTGTAAAATCATTCTCTATATACGACATTCTCTATAATTGTTCTCTCTGTAAAAGTTTCTCTATAATAGTTTTCTCTGTAATGGTTTCTCTGTAATGACGCGATACCGTTATTTTTATATTAAGTTATCTATATTATTTTATATAGATAAGAATAACCATAAATTCTCATATACCTAGGAATCCTATCTTTTCAAAAAAAAGATGATATTCTTTTTTATACATTTATTTTAGGATAAGTCAATAATTATATCTCACAACAGAGAAAGGATCAAATTAAATAATATAAAATTTACATCTATAATTCAAACAAACTAATTTAATTACTTATTTGCTTTCAACTATTCTTATTTGTAAAAAATTAAATTAAAAAATAAAATATATTAAATAGCAATAAATAATAATTAAACAAAAGATAAAACTTTTTTAGAAATGAGAATAGTTAGAGGCAAATGAATAATATAATCATTTTGTTTGAATATTGTTAGAGATGAGAAAATTATTTATAAAATTAAAATAAATAAATTATATTAATTAAAATCGATTTCTACTGATGACCTTTTATAAATATATCGCTTACGACCTTTTATAAAATATATCGCTTATGACCTTTTATAAAATATATCGCGACTTTTACAAAATTATTTTATTTTATTAATTTTATATTCAAATTCATATTATTTTATAAAACTATATAAACTTTAAAATTTAGATATGTTCAACAATGTTTAATTAATTTTTTATAAATAAATTTTTGTGTTCTCATCTTTGCCTGCCACTGTGTCTATTTAACATAGTGGCAGCGGTAAAGGTTCATTAATAAATTTTAAAAATTCTAAATTAAAATTAAATATAAATTTAAGACGCATGGGCACTTGGCAAGCTATAGATGAGAACGTTAAAGATAAAATTATTATTGGATGATATTTTTCAAAAACTAACTATGATGACGAAAATTTAAACCAATCCCTGGCCAAAAATGATTCTTATACGACTTTAAAGCTAACTATGATGACGAAAATCTATACCAACCCCTGGCGAAAAATGATTCTTATACGACTCTAAAGCTAAATATGATGACGAAAATTCAAACCAACCCCCTGGCAAAAAACGATTCTATAAACTCCGATTAATGATGAATTTAACATTCCAATTTGTTATAATAATATAGTACTGATGTGATATTATTTATGACAAGTTATGATATAGTTTATAAATTTCGATAAAGCCAAACTATCCTACCTTACTTTCAAGATTTTCGGGAAAGTTAAGGAAAAAT